TAACTTTGAACCGCATTTTATTATTATTTTTTAAGGAGAATTGCAACGTCGTGAAAACACGTCTCGAACCACGTCACATAAATGCACCCGGGGTCTTTGACATATTTTAACTTCGTTGGGATTTGGATTTGGGTCACATAAATGTGCACCCGAGTTTAAGAAAGTAATTTTATTAAAAGTGCGCCTAAAGAGACTAACGCGTTGTTATTTTTTGGGGAAGACCGTGAAATTCGCTAAACGGCCCGTCCCGAAATCTAAGTATTTTAGTATATACATTTAAAGAGGGCCCCGCAATTTATGTATTTTGTTTAGCGAGGCTCGTCTCATTTATTATTTAAAAGGCAAACCTAAAGCAACTATGATTTTCTATTTTTATTTGTCTCTAATAATAAAAGAAAATGTCCTAATTAATTAATTATTTTATCCGAACTTAACGATTTTAGGACCAAAGGACTGAAATTCAGCCAATTCCATGACATTGGCCCAATAGGAAGGGCGGCAGGCCCAGATTTTACTTGCACTAGAACCGGACTGCCTGGGCCAATAATCATCTAGATACCCAAGAGCAAATTAACTTTGGGCCTATTGAGTCCCTTCTTCACATCCTGGACAGTCCAAGCTTTGCCAAGCTCAAATGGAACCACCCTAATTACTCAAAACGATTAACAACTATGGGTGAGAACAGTTTATCAACGTGCCAATGAGACTACCAACTTACGTACACGATTATGCGAACCCAAAACTATACTGTTAGATCATATTCAATTAACATCAACTACCACTATTATTTAATCTAATATACGAACTAACATAATGAAAAACCTAACAGTTAATCCATCTGTATTCCAATGGTGCTTTTAATTCCTGAGTTGAACTTAACTAATCAGTTATTTCCTGCTACTGAATTAAGGCCATTCGAGTGCAAACTCGCAATTCCGAAGTTATTTAGACGAAAAAAAACCAACAATGCACTAAGCTGTCAATACATATGGAATTATCGAATTTGAAACTTCATGTTCTAAACTTAAACTTCAAGTTCTAACTTGTGCAATGAGTCACTAACATTAACTAAGCTAAAACTGAAATCACAGCCATACAATTGATCAACACAAAGTTCATAGGGTTTAACAGTCCATTGTTTAATTACAGAACTTAAGCATTTGTGATAGCAATTCTAAATAATGTTCAAAGCCAACTGAAATGGAATTACACTGCACAATTGTGATAAACAGTCCTATAGGAGTTTAAGCAGTCAATTCAGCTTAACAGCAATCCTATTTATACAATTCGTATACCTACTGTCCATGTAATACCAATAAAGGCTAATCAAGTGGCTATGAACAGCTAGTTAACTACAAACTAAAAACAGCAGAAAGCATTCTTCGCACATAGAACTGATGAATATCTTTATTTCAACTCCAATTCACAATTACATCGAAGTGAATTCAGAAATGTGTACCTGAAGTGCAATGAAATAAATGAAAGGAGAATGATCAGTAGCAATAGATAGCAGGAGCAACAACCAGAATTCAAATAGCGAAGTTAAGCAAGAGCAGCAGTGACAATTAGAACCAACACAGCTTCAAAAATACCCAGGAATGGACTGGAGATTTTACAGCATCAATTTTAACCCAAAACAGACCCAACTAAACCCGAGTACACTTCAGAAAAGCTACAGCAACTAGAAGAGAAGAGAATCAATGCCTAGAAATCAAAATTAACCTAAAAATCAATGTAACAGTGCTTTTTTTTTTATTTTCTCTTGTATTTTTGTTTGTTTTTGGATTTTTGATAATTGAGACTACAAGGAACTATAGAACTGCAGATTTGGCTTTTTTTGAATTTTGAAATTCAAAGTCAGATCTGGGGGTTGTATAACACCTTTTGGGGGTAATTTTTGGAGCTTGAAAACTTGTGGCTTAAGGCAATATTCATGCCTTTTTATAGGCAAAATGAAGTGCAACTTTCAGATTTCAGTTTATATCATTTTAGTCCCTGTTTTATTTCTGTTTAGTCCTCTACTTTCTGACTTGTTACTCAAGTTAACACATTTATCTTCTGAACTTCACCTTAAAACCCACATCTAGAAGCTTCTAGGAAATTCTTGCTAGATCCCGTACCCTTGAATTGCCTATCTTACCCTTTGCCTGATTGGTTATTACAGCCCTTACCTGACCCTTAAGACCCCTAAAGTTTTCTTTGATGCAATTAAGGCCCTAAGAGTTCCCACTAATTAACAACTAGGATAAACAACAAGTTTCAGAATTGAAGAAGCAAGGAAGATCAAACAAACCAATATTGAATTACTTTAAACTTATACCTAGACCTGCATCTATTTACTCAGTGACCTTGGAATCAAAACGACACACCCAGGAATACTTGAATCTATTCAGAAACTAATACGAATGAACTGGATTAACTGGACATAATAGATAATATCTCTAAACCCTAACATGCCACCATTTCCAGTCTCTTAATGAACAAACAATTAAACATAATCAACCTCAAACCTATAAAACTCATAAAAGAAGAAAATAACAAAAAAAAGCACAAAAACATAATGACTGAATATACATCCCAAATTATGACAGAATGCAGAAAAACCAAAATCAAACGACGAAAAGAAAAGAGGATTACCTGAAACAACCTCTTCGACACTGGAATCACTCACTCAGACCGTCGAGCCAAAGGGTGAATTCGAACTACCGTTAATTGTCTGTTCATAACAAGAACAAATCGACTAACGGATGTTTTGAGTTCACCCACACCTCTCAAGACCCAAAGATGCAAAAGGAGAAACAGGGACTAGGCTTCATATTTCATATCCAAGATTCGAAGCGTTTGACAATGATTTGAGGGAAATCAGATACATATTGGGTGTGAGGGGGTCAAAGCGGTTGTATGGTGTTAATTTGGGACTGGTTGGGTAAACTAGGGTTTTGGGGTCCTATTTCGATCTAAAATTCGAAGAGTATTGGGGTGATTCGAAGAAAATGGATTGGGGATTCGGAATGGGGAAGGTGAGGGAAGTCCATGGTGTAAGTTTGGAAGGGATTGGCCACCGTCCGCCGCCGTGGGCGATTTCCGGCGGGCGGAGGACGATGGTGTATGGCTGGTCTCTGAAGAGATAAAGGAGAGGAGTGAGAGGGGGGGTAGGGTGTTTCTGACAGTTATATGTCAAAAATTATCAATTCCTGACCGTTAGAAACAACCTAGACGGTCAGGATTGATTGTCGTGGAAACGACGTCGTGTGAGCTCTATGTGGCTGGACCGGATCGAGAACCTTTGGGCTGGGGTCAATTTGAAATGGGTTTAAGGGATTGGGCTAGATTTCAAACGGATTTGGCCCAAAAATGGGTAATCCATGAAGACCACTCAATTTTCTTTTTAATTGTTTTCTTTTCTTTTCCCTTTTTATTTCTTTTATTTGTTTTCATTTTGCATTTTTTATGTTTTTCTAACTTTATTAAAATGCAAAATCAAAGACCTAATTTGTTTCCAAAATTAAACTAATTAATTTCTAAAAATCTATTAAATCCTATTTAAAAGCAAACCCATGACAAATTCAACAATTAACAATTAAAAATGCAAAAATGGACTATTTTTGTTATTTTCTTTAAATTTTGTTCTAAAAACAACTTAACCACTAAATAATCCTAAAATATGAAATTAGATCCTAAATGCAAATGTCATGTGTATATTTTTATATTTTTCATATGAATTAAAATGCACAAATAAAATGCAAACAATTAACAGAAAATAACACGAAATTCACAAAAGTGTAGAATAATGAAAGAAAAATTATTTTGTTTGAATTTTTGGAAATAATTCATATATAGGGCAAAAATCACGTGCTCACACTTGTCATCTGTAGGCTATCTGTTGCTCAATACTAAATATACAAGAACATTCTCTCTGCTCTTATTCTCTTGATCTTATTACTTCCATTTATTGCTTACATTCATTGTTCTTCATTTATTACTTATTATTGGCCATAAAGAGCCATCATTAAATCTATCATAACTGTTAGTCCCTCCGTCGACTGCCCACGACAGGGTATAGGACTCGACCTCGAGGCCCCGAATAAGCGAGTTTGAGGCCCCGCTTATCAGCCTATTGGTTTGGTTATCACCTTGTTTTCAAGCTCTTATCTCGTTCTCTAATCTCTTACTTAACATCTATCGCCTAAACAACTAGCATAAAAATAGATCACGTATTTTTAGAACCACAAAATCAAATCTAATTGTAATTACCATTTTCAAGGTAAACAAGTCTCTTTAATTAAAGATATTTAAGTTAATCAGTTCAAATATAATGACTTTTTGTAATTTAAATTTCCCAAGATAACACTAGAGTTTGGAATATAATCTAGAAGTAATAGTTTGAGGCTAAGCACTACAAAAGTCACTTTCATTTGATTTCGCAAGAAGGTAGATGTGCATTTATTAATGTACAAATATATGCACCTATGTATGTGTATTATGTTTGATATGATTTTATTTAATTTGTTTATGAAAACCCAAATGGTGTCGAAAGTAGTTATCTAATTGCCTGCCTTATATCACCCTTACTTTAACGGTTTGCTTTGTTTAAAAATGCTTTTGAGGTTTGATAATTTAAGTTTACTATTTGCAAATCTCAAACTTAGGGCTTGATTCCACCACTTTCCAGACTCATACATTTGAGAATGAAAAACTGGAACATTTTATACATCGGCGAATAAAGAATATGATGCTGAAAAGTGATCGGAAAGGAGGTCACAGAACGAGGCAATGACGGCTCACAAAGCAGACAACAAGCAGAAGCTTCTCAACCCTCTTTACCTTTCTATCTTTTAGTAAAATTTCAAAACTAACAGTCTGCTATGCTACACTATCTGGTTGTAGGATGAGCAGCCTTTGTATAGTTTTGCTTTTCTCTCCTCTCCTTTAGTAAGTGCTTTTTCTCATTATTTAATGTCTTTAAGCTTATTTAATTACTACTGTAGTAAATTGTAAAATCAACGAGCAAGGAACAGGGACTAAAACATTAAATTTTTACACTTAAACTTCAAAAACAAAGTAAATCATCACATTTAGCTCATTAAATACAGTTCTCAAGGAAGAAAATATTCCTCATTTTGATATGGGCAATTTAGAAAGCTTCCTAATTTCTCCATGTTTGTGAAGATAGCCTGTAAATGCATAGCAGTAAGACATCAGTTACAGTATCATCAAGTTCCCTAATTGTCAATTTTGTTTTTCCTGAGTTACCTGGCCTAGAAATCATGTGAATACGAGACCGAGGTCCATCAAACATCCAGCTATCCTCGTCTAACGATTTAACCTCTTTATTCAGTGAAGCCATCAGATCAGATTTGAGAACTGCAAGCACAACCAAGATACCTTTGGATTTCAGGATGAAAACTGAAACAAACTCAAAGTTTCTTAGAAGAATAAACTCCATTACATCAAGAAAATAATGCAAATATGGCATTTGCTTTCTCAGCTAGAATTTTTTTTGTTTTAAACAAGCACAATAGCCAAATTCACTCGCCAACTTTTTTTTGACTAGCTGCTAGCAATATCTTTTTTATTCAGAAAGGGGAAGTAAAGACTCCACTAATGCTGCTTTAATTTGTGTTTGCCTAATTATCAATGATCATCATCATCATCAAGTGCTATAGAGCTAAGAACTTTAACGGCTTTATTTATGATAAAGCTGCTCTGCTACCCCAAACTCCCACTTTTTGCAGGACCTATAACCCGACCTGCTGAACCAAGGATGGCCTAAAACCGAAGCCAGACGCTTTCTCCACCAGATAGAAACAGTAAGTCACATGAACCAATTTGGTCCTTTTACAAGCAGTAAATGGCACGATATGAAAAATTCTTAGTATAAGCCACAAAATTAAACATTTTGCTACCTTATATATGACACCATGCTAAACGTACTTAATATAACAGCTTTATCAAAAAAAGAAAAATCCTTAATATAATAGACATAACCTGCTGAAATACACTTCCCATTAGTTTTTAACCTTTACTAAGGCTGTTCTAGATTGTCCTTACAAATCTATGCAAACATTGTTGGCAGGTTTATCAAAAGCGAAAAGCGTAAAAAAGCTCCTAAGGTCCGTTGGGGTTTTAAGTGCAAAGCGCAAATAAAGGGGTTTTAAGTGCAAAGCGCAAATAAAACGTGGGCTTTAATGAAGAAACATGCAAATGGAGAAAAACTATAAATATGTATTTGTCTTCCAGGACTAATATTTATAAGCATGAATACCAAATATATGGACAAAGAAATTGAAGAAAATTTTATGATAAAGTAAAATATCAATTGTTTAGCGTCGTCTCTTCAGGATTATGCTCATTGGCAAAGAAAAGTATGTTTTAGAGCCTTGATGGCGATGTTGAAGCGCCCACTACACGAGGCGAAGCGCTCAATTTGAGCCTTGCTTCAGGACTTAAGCGCACCTTTAATAACACTGATTGTTGGTACATAGTCATTTGGTCAGAAATAGGGCACTCCTTTAGACTTGTTTCAGACAGAGAAATCACTCACTTTCATTAATTAACTAGTGAATTTACTCAAAACTTATTACCCAAAACAACAGTTGAAAAAGCTATCGAACAACAAAACGAGTAATATAATGAAGTACTGGCCTTGTTGAACTTTGAAGAGCTGCGATAGTAGTACTAGTAGTAGTACATTTTACTTATTAGTGGAGAAACAAAATCTATAATACTTAACCAACTAGTGATATAAGAAAATTATCTATTTTCACTCGATGTAGAACAATATAGACATGTAAATGATATGCAAAAGTATAAGAAATTAAGATTGAGCTATATCAACATTTTCCAGCTACTAAATTTGGAGTAAATGAGGTCTTACATTTGATAAAATTACATCCACAGCATCTACGTTTGTGTGCAAACCATACCTAACTCCAATTTCCAGCTGCCTCCAGCCCCTACTATAAAGCATCTGTCTCCATCTGTGCAGATACATCTCCCCCCCACACCCTTACATGTCCTACTCACACGACCACATCATTTTTACCATCTACTTTCTATCATGATGAGATCAATCAATATTTTCCTTTTAACTATTTGCAACTTTTAAGTTATTCTTTCCACCCAAGGATGCAAAAACTGTTCATAGTCCCTCAATTAATCACAAAGTTATAATGTTGTGTTTTAAAACACTCATATCTTGAAAAATGAAAATCAGAGATATCCAATGAAACACCGGAATTCTTTTTCTTTTTCAAACATACACACTACAGACGTTAAAAAATAAAAATAAAAATAAAGTTCTCCAAGTTTTAGATTCAAAAGTAAAAACATGTGGTACTGACAATCACGCTGTGCAAGTGGAAAATTCTTTTGGCTACAAATTACTGGCTTTTGCTTCAAAATTTTGAAGAGAGTTTCAAATTAGAACATTATTCAAATGAATTTTTAAATACTCCACTGCATTAAATAATCAATTTTAGCTATAGAATAATATTCCACTGCATTAGATAATCAGTTTCAGATCGTTATTCGGCTGATTTGCGAAATAAATTAGGTCTTCTCCAGCCACACAGATCATTACTTGAAGTTGAATATACTTCCAAATGAAAAACTAAAAACGTAAACATATTATCACAAAGAAAATGCAAAAAATGTCACTGACCATTTAGAGCTTCATCTTTGCGATCTTGAATAGAGATGAGATCAGTAGGGAAGTTAAAGTCTTCAGCGACTAAAGACGATGATGGCCCAGCGTTTCCTCCGATCATCGCCATCGTCGAACTCGATGACCTCGCCGGCGACGATGTCAGGGAACTGCCTGTACTCATTTTCCCCCTCCACGTATCCGAAAATACAAAACCCTATAGAAATAGTACTCTATCCGTTTTAAGTTTTGGACATTGTTTTTCAAGGTTAATTTTTTAAATGATATCCGTAAAAAGATAATAAGTGAATCGAGTTGATCCCAAAATAATAAATAAATTAGATAAGAATATAAGACTTAGAGTTGAAATCTAGACAAGATAGTAGCAATCTTGATTCCAGGAGCAGAGCTTACGGAGGCCGTAGTAACAATATTAATAAGCAAGAAATATTATTGAGTTTTTGAACAAAGTATCGTTTGACTTGTCAGAAAATTCGTGTCCCCTTAGAATGGCCGTAGAGCTCACTATTTATAGTTGTACCTATGGAACAAGGTCCTAGGATCAAGCCCCCCTTAAATGATAATTACGAGGGCCATTAAAGAATGTGTAACGGTAGGCACTGAATGTCATATTCTCTGTAACGGACCGTGCACTTAATGCTATAGAATATTCTCCATTAAATGCTATTGGGTGGCAGATATTTAATTCGCCTTTATGAATACCATTCCTTTCGAGATCGTTGCCTTCGAACCTGCCTGTCTTCTGTCTTCGGCTCCACGTGTCGCTTTCTCATGCGAACATTAAATATGAACATATTTTACCATCTACAGATAGTCCCCCTGCTTTCTAGTGGCATAACCTTATGTAACCGGGAAGTTGGTAAAGATACCTTTTTTGGCGGGAAATTCTCTGACCCCCTCTAAAAAGTTTCTGACGGTTGATTTGGCGCACGTCTCTCCGCATTTAGTGCCCCGAACACGTGTCATCCCACGATTCAGCAACACTTTTGCCGGTTATCAAGGTAATTATGGCCACGATTTTAGCCGCATATTCCTTTACTTATACACATCAAACTTCTCCATTTACACTTCATAACTTTCCAAACTCTCTCGAACTCTCTTTACTCAACTCATACTTGTCTTCAACTTTCTCCAATCTTCTTATTCGGAAAAAACCCTTTTCTCCCTTCTGATAACATTGGCCTCTTTTTCAGAAATCCCAGTTCCTCAAAGAGAAAAGGTAGTACTGATGATGCTGCTCCTCTCACGGTGAGCACCATTATTCCAAGAAAACTCATCACAACTAAGGACTTCGAAGAGAAGTATCCTTCCGCTAACCTTCGCACATGAGCTGTTGGTGCATATCCTTCTTCTATCCGTCCTTCCAGCATTCCTACTGTGAAGGAAGATTGATGTTGCCATGATTTAAACATCATCGCTCCTGCCCTGGCGCAGCGGATAACCGAGGTTGACCGTCGTAAAGAAGAAGTTCAGCGCCGAGCGGCTTCCCTCATTGTTGAAAAAACATATTCTATGTATAGCATGAGGAGAAAAAACCTTGGAAGAGGACAAAGCGGGCGTCATTGACTTTGATGCAGAAATTGCCAAGGCCCGTGAGCTGGAGTCAACTGCCCGAAGGGGTCTTCCGGTCCAGCCTGATGCTACCCACTCTTCTGGTTCCAGTTCTGAGTTCTCGGGAACTGAAGAAGAACCTGAAGGTGATGATGATGAAGGGCAAGATATTGGGCCGGCGGCGGATCTTCTGACTTCTCCCGGGGGTGCAGATGCTTCTCTTCCTCTCGATTCCTGTGGTGCAGTTGTTTGGCTTTTGATTTCTTTTCTTTTTCATACCTTTGTATTTGTGCTATTTAGCACGTTTGTTGTGAATAGAAGTACCTTTTTCGTTTAAGTATTGTGCAAGTTTTCCTCTTTGCGTACTTTTCGTTTAAGTATTTGCGCAAGTTTTTCTCTTTGCGTTGAATTGTGCAAGGCTTTGGGTGTATTTTTTTCTCGAGAGCATTTGGATTCCAGGCATAAGTTCTTTTGGAATTAACCCTTTTACCATGAGGGTTTCATAAGAGACGGGCCTCTTATGTTTACGATGCTCTTGAACAGGACGTCTCTTGTTCATTAGGGCACTAGCATTTGAAGTACTTGTTTAACTTTCAAAATCTCAGACAAGAAACAAGATAAAAATAAAAGGACTTTACTTTATTCCATTCATTTTCAAAAGTACATAAGTATTCGTTATGCTAAAAAGAAATTGACATTACTTGTGGCTAACTTGTACAACTTATTTCTACGGGGCTGGCCGGGCAGTCCTCGGTCCCGATGGTAAAACTTTGTTCCCAAATTTCGTAGTTCCGCTCGATGTGGCAGTCATAGTTGCCGTATTCTCATATCACCACCCCCCCCCAGTGTTCGAATGCGAAGAATACGAATTTGAACACTGGAAGTTTTGCACATTTGAAGATTCCACTAGTAAATGGTTAGATAATCTTCAGTTCGGTAGCAAACTTCACTTCCCCTTAGGAACTTTTGCTATTGCACCAAAGATTATCTAACAATCCCCCATTGGCTTGCACTTGTGAATGGTCGGGTAATCTTTGTCTGACAACAAACTTTATTTCCCGGTAGGAACTTTGCTACCGAGCAAATGACTATCTAACCGCTCCGCAGTGGCTTGTTGCTTGCATGCCTTGTCGTTTAAAGCTCTTATTTCTGCTGACGAAGCTTCTTTCGTAGTATGCTTTCCTTTGCTGCCTCGTTAAAAATCATGCTAGAAAAACCCAATTGGGACTAAAACTGGACGAAGGTAAAAAGAGTGCAGTACATAGTTTTAGTATAGGCGAGGCTCATCAGCAATAGTATCTCTTGAGGTGTGCCACGTTCCAGTTGCTTGGCAACTTTACTCCGTCATGATTTTCCAATTCATATGACCCTTTTCCGGTGACAGCTGAATCCCGGTAGAGGCTGTCCCTTGTTGGAACTAGCTTCCGTGCGTTGAGCTCCCGGGTGTTCTGAGTTACTTTCGTTAAAACCAAGTCTTCTATTTTGAAATAACGGAGGTTGGATCTTCGGCTGTAATATCTTTCCATTCTCTGCTTTCGGGTTGCGATCCTTATATGCGCCAAGGCCCTGCGTTCATCGAGCAGCTCCAATTTGACCAACATTGCTTCATTGTTTGTTTCTTCGTCTGCCCGAAAATATCTCAAGGTAGGTTCCCCCACTTCCACTAGGATCAAGGCTTCTGCTCCGTACACAATAGAGAAAGGAGTTTCCCCCGTGCTTGATTTGGCCGTTGTTCGGTACGCCCATATTACTCCTGCCAGCTCTTCGGGCCATTTTTTTGGCTGCTTCCAATCTCTTTTTGAGATTTTGGATAATCACCTTTTTGTTGATTCTGCTTGACCGCTTGCGCTGGGGTGATAGGGTGATGATGTGATCCTTCTGATTTTTAAGTCTTCAAGGAATTTTGTGATCTTTGCGCCTGTAAATTGTGGCCCGTTGTCGCAGGCTTTCTCTTTTGGTATTCCAAAGGGATTAGCTAATCCTAGGACTCGCCCATTAACTTCGAATTAATTTTGGGAAAGATTATTTGGGGTTGGAAAAGATTAATTAACAAGAACTTGAGGCTTTAACCCTCATTTTGTAGATTCTACCTAGGGATAGGATTGAACTACTTGTAGTCATAATTGGGTGTGCTTAATCTCTTAATTGTTTTAGGGATAATTCAATTAGGAAGTCTTGTTAGTCTTCGGAAGAAGCTAATATAGAATTATTATCCAAGGCTAATAACATAAACTCGCTCATATTTGTTAAATCGTAAGATACATTGGATCGTTACTTGAGTGTAATTCCCAATGCATCCATACTTGTAGCCATTGATCATTTTACTTGCTTTCTAAGTTAGTTTACATTTTCGCATTTAGTTATAAATATCTTCACAATCACCATTCTAAGTGTTTGGCATTGCATAACAAGTGATGATTCTCTTACATTCCTAATCGCCTATATATTTTTCTCTGTGGGATTCGACCCCGACTCATAGTTGGGCAAATTATATTGCATGCGACCGTGTCCATTTATTTTTTAGTAGTGGAGTTGGATCATCACCTTACTTGGGGCTGGTGGCAACAGACCAACTATATCCATCCCTTACTTCATGAACGGCCATATCGACAAAACTGAGAGTAGTGGCTCTGCCGGTTGGTGTACCAACGGTGCGTAGCATTGACATTTATCACATTTTTTAACATAAGCCTTGGCGTCTTGTTCCACCTTGAGCCAGTAGTATCCTGCCCTAATTAATTTTAACACTAAGGAATTCGCGCCTGAATGATTTCCGTAAATCCCTTCGTGGACTTCTCGCATAACATAGTTAGCTTTGGAAGCTCCCAAACATCCCGCCAACGGGCCTTGGAAAGATCTTCTATACAATTGACCTCCCTTAAAGCTGTATCGCGCTGTTTTAGTGCGCAGCGCCCGAGATGCCTTGGGATCTTCAGGCAATTTTCAATGCTCGAGATAATCTATGATCTCATTTCTCCAGTCCCAGACCAAGTTGGTCGTATTTACTTCTTAATAGATGTCTGCGTCCAATACCGAATGCATAAGCTGTACGACCGTACCTCCCTTCATTTCTGTGGACGATCTCAGATTGGACAATGCGTCTACTTCCGCATTCTCTTCCCCCGGGATGTGTGTAATTGACCATTCCCTGAACCGAGCGAGCAGACCCTGGACTTTTACTACATATTATTGCATGTGTTCCTCTTTGGCTTCGAAGATCCCGTAGACTTGGTTTACTACCAATTGTGAGTCGCATTTGATTTTTATGACCTCGGAGTCCAGCCCCCCGGCCAGCTTGAGTCCTGCAATCAAAGCTTCATACTCTGCTTTATTGTTAGTCAGGGGAACAATTGTAATGGCCTGCCTTAGGGTTTCTCCCGAGGGCATGGTTAAGGAATTCGATAAATCTAGACCTGAGCTCCGGGTTTAGTCTTGTCCCCAAGTGGAATTTCCTCTCCAAGAACTTCTCGAATAATGCGACTTGTTCAAGTTCTTCTGCCGTGGATTTTGTTGCGTCTATTTCTTCTGGTACCTGGAAGTATCTTGGTATATGATAGGATTGCTATGTTGCATGCTCCTTCCCTTTTCTACTGGAAATTGAGATTACATCCATCTCCATTGTTGTCGGTTGGTCTCCTCTTATTTGTTTAACTCCCTTGGGAGTTGGGAACTTCAGCAATTGA